CAGGGACATCTAAGTTCAGGGCTACATCATTGAAGAGGCCAAGTGTTTTTGATAATTTGAACATGCACTTGGAAGGTATAAATGCTGACTTTTGATTTCTAGCTTGTGTCTCTGTCTACAGGTGAACAGCCTAGAAGCAGAGAGAATCCTCAAGCCCTAAGCATCTAAGAAGCTGAAAATTGCCACTTTGTTCAAATGATGATCTACTTTGCCCATACATAAGCTTTTCAGTTTTATGACTTTCCTCTCTTCGATTATTGTTTCCAGTGACCATTACTATTAGTGTCTTATCCAGAAAGCCTTTTCCCATACCAATGAGTTCAAGACTATTTCACATTTCTCTTCTATTAAATTCAGAGTATTTGGACCTATTTTTTGGTCTTTGACCCATTTGGACTTGAGTTTTGTACAGGGTGATAAATCTTCTCCTTGTATTCTTTTACATATAGCCATTCACTTTGAACAGCATCATTTGTTAAATATGCTGTCTTTTTTTCCTGGTATGTATACCTGGCTTCTTTATCAAATGAGACATTCATAGGCATGTGGACTTATATCTGGGTCTTCACTTCTTTTCCATCCATCAGCGTGTCTGGTATTTATGTTGACACCATACTGTTTTTCTGATTACCACTCTGCAATACAATTAAAATCTGGGGTGGTGATACTTCATGAATTTCTTTTATTTTTCGTGGTAATTTTAGCTATCCTGAGTGTTTTGTGTTTCATTATGAAGCAGAAAAATTAGTTGATTTCTATTTCCCTGGAGAACTGTGTTGGAATTTTGACAGAGATTGCACTAAATCTGTCAATTACTATTGGAAGGATGACTGCTTTCACTATATTAATCCTACCAATCCATGAGCAGGGGAGATGCTTTCATCATCTGATTCCTTCTGTATCTTTCTTCTGTGTTTTAAAATTGTTGATGTACTAGTTCCTCACCTGCATGATTAGTTTATCCAGGATATTTTATTATGTCTGAGCACATTGTGACTTGTGTTGTTTCCCTCATTTCTGTCTGTTGTTTTTAGATTTCACAGTTTTTTTGTTTTGTTTGTATGTTTTCTATTTTTGTTTTGTTTTAACGTGGGGCGTCCATTTCTTTTACCTTGTCTGCAGTGCCTGAATTCCTTCTTCTGTTTCTTCTGCTTCATTGGTAAATCTTACCTCTGAGTCTTTGGTTTGACTTCCTAAATTGTAATTTCCCAGTTTTATCTCGGTTTGTATTTTCTTTAGTAATTCTATTTCTACTTGTAGGTCTTAAAATTGTTTACTTCATTTTATTCCACTGTTTGTTTATGTTTTCACAGACTTCATTAAGGGATTTATTCATATTCTCTTTAAGATCATTGGAAAATATTAATAATATCTATTTTTAAGTCCTTTTCCCTTGGTTCAGCTATATTGCATTTTCAGGATCTGTTCTAAGTATGGGTACTGGGTTCTGGTGGAGATATGTGGTCTTGGTTATTAATGATTGTTATGTGCACATGTCTAGAGTTGGGGTGATTGTATTTTTATATTTTAATAACTGCTGTTTTTTTATTCAGTGGATGTTTTATTCCTTGGTTTCTGATGAACTCTGTGGATCTTAGCGAAGTATGGTTGTTATTGCCTTGTAGTGAGTGCTTCTATGGGCCAGTGTATGGCAGAAAGGCATAGATGTAGACTAGGAGAAAAGCTGAGAGGCTTCATTAACAAGCTAAGGGGATGCACTTCACACCTAGAGGTGGGATCCATAAGAAGTTGGGGGTGTGGTGTGAAGAGAGTATCCTGAAGTAGTTTGCAGTAAGGCAAAGAATTATGTGGAGAGATGGGGATGTAAGGGGTGGGACCCTGGGTCTGACCCAAGAGTTGTAGTGTCCAGTGAATGAAGTTGAGAAAGGTACCTGTAAGCAGGTTGTTACCAGGCTGAGGATGAGAATGGAGAGATTGTAATGGAGGACTGGAAGGATAGTGTGAATAACCTACCTGAGTTCCTTCCAGTGTGGTCACTGGGCTAGAAACTGCTTTTCTATGTCGGACGGTGAGAGGAAGGGAACGGGTGGACTGGAGGGGATGCTGATGTAGTCCAGAAGAAGGAGGGAAGCTGAGTCCTCTGCAAGTTTTGGTGGAGTCCCTGGGGGATGGAAGCAGAGAGCAAGGACAGGACCTACAAGTGGTCTGCTACAGTGCTGGGAATGGTACCAGGGGAACTGAAACAGAGGACAGGAAAGTCAGTGACTCTGGCCCATCTGCTTCCCAACCCTGTGTGAACACTGGGTTCCCAGACAGACAGTTTATAGCTGTTCAGAGTTGACACAAAGGAAAGGCAATGCACTAGAAGCAGGGGATGCTGGGAGGGTCCACAGGAAGGAGGAAAGATTGGTTTATTCCAAGGTTTGGCAGATTCTCCAGGGAATCCACGACTGCTCTTTCATCAGTAATTCAATCTAGATGCTGTGGGAGTGAGTGAGTGAAATGGATGGTACCATCCTCAAGACCAAATGACTTCATAGAATTTTACTAAGAATAGCTAAGCACTTTTGTGATTCAAGGCAAATATCTCTGGAAAGGAAGATACATACATAAAAACATATCTGTATTGTCAACAAGAGTTCACTGAAATAGAACATTTTTCTCTTGCAATTCAAACCCATGAGAGACCTAAAATAACCTTTTCCCAAGTGCCATACCCCTCAAGGATAAATACTGCCTCTGAGAAAAGAGAGAAATCTTTGGTGAGTGATTCAGAATTCTGAGATAAGGAACTGGATTATTAAGCACAATTCTAGACCAATTAAATGTTGTTACACACACACACACACACACACACACACACACACATACACGAACACATCAAATATATATATTTATATATGAAAACATAATATATATATATATTTATATGTGAAGCATTATACATATGCTATGTTAGATTTAAGTACAAGAAACAGGCTCACTAGTGTGTACAAATACTATTCTTGATCCCTCAGCACATGGACCCCCTTGATATGACATACTGCTGTTTTACATGTCTGAGTCCCTAGCAGGCCTCAGTGATTAAAGGTGCAACCACAAGGTGGTAGCAGACCTCAGCTGCTGGGGAGGTGGTGAATCAACAAAGTTGGGCATATCAAGTTGAGGCAGGACCAGTAACAGATGGGAGCAAGCATCTCTTTAGAAAGATGTAGATTTTTTGGTTAATTCCTCAGGAGTGGTATAGCTAGTTTGGAAGACTTATGCTCAGCATTTGGAGGAACCTCCATACTGGTTTCCACATTGTTTATACCTGTTTGCATGCACATCAGCAATGACTAAGTCTTCTCCCTCATGTCACACTCTTAGCTGGTGTCCTGGTCCTTTGGTTCTTAAAATCCCTCCTGCTACATTTCTGTGGTGTTCCATGAGCCTTAGTTGTAGGAATTGCACTGTAGATGTCTTAACTGGAACTAGAGATGTCACAGCACTTATTCTCTGCATTGTGACCAGTTGTCAAACACTACCGTGGCCCCTATATGCTTCAAAATGAACCTTCTGTGATGAGGTGTGAGAACTACAGTTATCTCTGTGTGTAGTTATCAATATTTAGAGTACTGTTAGAAGCTATACTGCTTTAGGATAGTGGTTGTAGTAGATCCTCCTCTTGGGTCTATGACCTGTCCAGCCATGGGTAGTTAACTAGGTTTACAGTATTGGCCCTAAATTCCTTCCTTTGAGCATGTCTTAAATCCAATGAGACATACATTTTTAGTTTCCACCAAGATAAACGTTCTACTATTGCACCCTTGTGGGTGTTCTTGCCGTGATGGTCATTTTTTTTTTTTTGGTTCATAGCATTTATACAGCTTTGTAGGAATATGTATTGCTTTTCTCCCTTGGAATTTTGCATATACTTGAAAACTCATCCTCAGGAAGGAGTCTTCAGGTCAATTCTAGCTAAATTCCTCCAAGTCCTAAGTCTCAGCTATGTAGCATCATTAGCAAAGGGTTGTTATGTACAATCTCAGAGCAATCAAAGCCAATAGCAATAGCCCATCTCTTTTGGAAGAGACACTTGAAACCCCAGTGGACAATTTGAAGGCAGGATTCCTGTTGGGGCCTGCCGACAGTCAGCTGGGTAGCTGGGTAGAGGAGTGTAGATTGTAGACACAATGACGAGGACAGAAAAGAGTTGAGAGGTCTGCCAGTCAGTGCAGGACAGTCCCAAGTTTATTTCACAGCCAGCTTATATACAGTTTTGAAGGATGGAGGTATAGCAATGCACAGCACAGGCATTCAACCACTATCTATCCTGCCTTGCATCAAGGACATTTTCTATCTCGATGTACCTCTGGCTGGCATCAGCAGCCTGCATCTAGCTTAATAGTGTCTTCCCTCTTGTGGGCTAATCAGGACTTTCTCACAGCCTTTCAAGGAGACTCTGCAGGCTAATCAGAACTTTCTCACATCTTTGAAGCAAACAAGCTTGAACTCTATTCAAACTGGGAAACTGAGTCAGTTGTGGGCACCCACAGATTCCCATGCCTGGCACTGAGGGTTTTTTTTTTTAGATTTAGCATTCATTTTAGGTTGACAATCTCTCTTATGAGAGAGTCTATTCTATTCTGTGCCATTTAAGTAGGTTTTGGAGTTTAGAAATGCAATTTGACATTCTATTTTGTTCCCTAACCAGTAAGATAGCATGTACTTCTTTTCTGCTCTTTTCATACACAATTAGGAGTCTTTCTTGAGGGACACAATAGTCATTGATTTCAGGTCTTCCTTCCATTACAGAGAGATAAATATGAGTAGTAGAGTATTTTACTATAAATAAGTATTTTGTTTCCAGAATTGAAATGGAACAAAACTTTTGTTTCTTTCCCATAATTCAGAAGAGTTATCTGAGAATCTAGCTCTAATCCAAATGACTGACTACACCACATCCTCAGGATTTAGTCAAAGTGCAATGACCTATGAGAGTGGGCAGCCTGACCCCCACATGGTGTGTAGGACAGAGAAGGAGCTGCCTCTCTGCATCATCTTGGGAGTTCCAACAGCTGTGTTTCCTGAGCAGCTTCACTAACTGAATGCTGTTGGGGAGTGTGAAGGTTTCAATGAGAATGGCCCCATAGGCTCAAAAATCTGAATGTTTGGTTCCGAGATGGTGGACTGTTTAGGAAGGATCAGTAGGCGTGGCCTCATCAGAGGAGGTGAGTCACTGGGGTGGACTTCGGGATCTTAAAGCCCAAGCCAGGCCCAGTCTCTCCCTCTCTCTGCCTCTTGTTGGTGATCAGATGGAAGCTCTCAGCCACTGCTCCAGGGACATGGCTACTGCCTGCTGCTACGCTTGCCACCACAATCATCATGGCTCACGTCTGAAACTGTAATCAAGTCCTCAATTAACTGCTTCCTTCTGTAAGTTGTCTTGGTCATGGTGTCTCTTCACAGCAATAAAACAGTAACTGAGACCACAAGTCGGACTGAACCCTCTGTAACATGGACTAAGGAGAGGAAGAATCTAAATAGCTTGCAGCAGGACACTGAAGCAGATTTTTAAATACTAAAGCCTATATAAATTTGTGGGGTAGGAACAGAAGATTGCTGGATAATTAAATCATTAAATTTTGTAAGACTTCATGGTAGAGATAAATCCCATGTCCAGCTTTTCCTGGAGATGTTTTTCTCTGAGAAGTCCTCACTTAGGAAGAGAAGAGTATTTCTGTGGATCAAAGCCTGGGTTGTCTCTAGCAATGACTTCCATCTATCCTGTCAGAATATCCACAGATTCTTAGGTTTCTAGGAATTTGACCTGAGATGTGCTGTTGTGTTTCAGGAGTCTGGGTAAACCCCACTCAGAGAAGGCACACAGCCCTCCCTCACAGGCCACTCCCTCAGCCTCCTGCACCCTGGGTTTGTGTGCAGCTTCCCCTGCAGTCCCCTCACTGTGGCACTCAGAGCACAGTAGTACAGGGCAGAGTCTGCCAGCAGCACTGAGGACTTCTGCAGGGGGAAGGAGCTGCTGCTCTTCTGGAGAGTGGCCTGGAACCCTTGGTGCTCTGTCCTCTGGTTGTCTGTGGCACTCCTCAGGAGTAGCTGAGGGGCTTTGTTGAGATATTGCACGTACCAGAAAAGGAAAGGAGAATAGGCAGTCTGATAGGTGCAGTTCATCATCACAGGCAATCCCTCTGTGACAGTGACCCGGCCTTCTGTCTGGGTCACTGAATCTGCATTGATCTTTCCTGAAAATCAATTAATCATCAATCAATCAACAAAGAAATTACATTGCTATGTGAGGTAACAGGTTAAAGACTTTCTCAGTTGTAAGAAAATGACAACCACACTTTGGGTAAATGTAACTTACTGAGCATGAAGAGGAGCAGCAGAACTGAGCAGGTGTCAGGAAGCATGTTCACAGAAGGAAATGTCACTTGGTTCTTAAATGCACCAAACTCACAGGGCAAGTCTCCTGCAGGACCTTACTGAAACTCCTCACTCATAGACAAGGACCTCCTTTTGCACAGTGACAGTCTGTCATGTGAAGCCACCACCTGGATGCAGACATTAACCACATCTGAAGAGACAGCGCCCTCTGCTAATTTCTCTTCAAACTGTACCACAGATGTCTGCACAACACACTGTGATTAAACTTGAAACTTCCCCCAAAGGAGGCAGGTCTCAAGTCCACAGCGGATGTTTGAAATCACTAGTGTTACTGAACTATGTGTATGCTATGGTTTTTAGTGTGACAAATGTAAATTAAATAACACACACACACACACACACACAGGAACACCTCTGATAAAACTTATCTATTTTTTCTCATTTTATTAGTTCTTAGAGAATGTCATACAATTCATTTTGATTATATTCAACTGCTCCCTCCACTCTTGAAAGATCCACCCACTATTCCTTACCAATTCAGTTTTTTGTCCGCTGCCCCAACTTTAAAAAAATACAACAAGGTTTGCATTACAGTTTGTCCTGTCCATATATTCTTAGATGTGTGGCCTTCAGTGGAGGCTTGTCTATGCACTGAGGGATTGATCTTTAAAGAAACCTGAATCTTTTCCTGGCAGCTGCAAACTGTCCCTAGTTCCTTAGCTGAAGGTGGGATGCCCACCTTCCCTCTGCTTGCTGGAATTGTGTCTGGTCTGATCCTTTTCAAACCTTATGTGTGCTGTTAATCTCTGTGGGTCCATGTGTGCAACTGTCCTGCTGAGTCCAGAAAACACTGTCTCCTTGTAGTCATTCCCCACCTATGGCTCTTACAATCTTTCCATCCCCTCTTCCTCAGTGACCTCTGACCTTCAGAGGAGGGTGTGTGATCTAGATGTCCTACCTGGAGCTATGTGTGCCACAGCCTCTTCTTTTCTGTAGCACAGTGAGTTCAGGTTCTCTGTGACAATCATATGTACTACAACCATGGAAAAAGAATCATGAATTTTTATTTCAATTTTTAGACATTTTTTTGTTTTGGTTTTTCAAGACAGGATTTCTCTGTGTATTTTTGTTGCCTGTCCTGGCTCTCCCACTGTATACCAGGCTGGCCTCAAACTCACAGAGACCTGCCTGGCTGTGCCTCCCAAGTGCTGGGATTAAAGGCATGTGCCTCCAATGTTGGCTAGAGTAATTTTTTTAAATGAAGCAAAGAAAAAAAAAAACACTGTCCAAAATAGTTTTAAGTGACTCAAAGATGACTTTCTTATTTTGTGTTTTAAATATCTACACTATACTTGGCACTTGCCAACTATCAACTGACAAATGCTGTGCCTGAGACACAGGATGTGCACAGGGCTCCAGTCCTGCAGCAGGTTTGAGGACAGGCTGCAGGTGCCTGTGAGGCAGTGTGCACTTGCAGCTCAGAAGTACATGGCAGAGTCTCCAGGCCGGGTGTCTGTGATGTGCAGGGAGAAGTGTTTGGCTTTCTTATCCTGTAAAACTATCAGTCTTTGCTCCTGCTTTCTTTCCACAGTTGAACGAATGCCAATAATGAGCTGAGGATGCTCTCCAGGTCCTTGCTTATACCAAGGGAAGTAGGACAAGACACTGTCTCCATAAGTGCAGTTGATGACAGCGCTGGCTCCCTCCTGGACTCTCAGGGTGGAAGGATGCTGCTCCACCTGCTCACCATGGATCACCCCTGTGCAGAAAGATGGAGAGAAAGGAGAAAGGCTGTCAGGTCATCAGTTTGCAGAATTCTGTCTTTTCTTTTTAATATAACAGAGAAAACCTGAAAAAAGTATAGTTCCACCTGAGTGTCTCAGAAATGCCTATTGAGTACCATATGACCCTAAAATATTAACTCACCATCCAACTTCAACCACAGAAATATGAATAAAGTAGGAACAAATGTCTTCATTGTTCTTCCAATTAAACTAAGATCCAGGGCACAATCGGGATGACTAGCAGGTCAGCTACAGCAACCAGGGTGTTGTTCTTTCTCAGTAACAATTCTGCTCTTGAGTCATCTACTCAGCCACTGAGAGAAAGGCTGGGCTTCTGCCCTAAGCCTGCACAATCAGCACCTCCTGAAGCTCACACCAGGAAGCCAGCCTGTCTCAGGCTTGGAGGGATTTCAGACTGAGTGCAGGAAGGATGGAATCTCCTCCCACCTGAGAATCCTCTGACAGCGGGACTGAGGGAGTTGGGTGCTCCTGTGCTCTGAGTCACAAGTATAGAGCTGAACACAAACAACTTGAGACCTGCAGAGTAAAAAACCAGGGTCCCAGCCTCAGACACTTTTAGGCAGTTGTCATGTTCCATAAATGCAACAGTAAAGAGAAATTGGAATCTTGAGAAACGCTTCATTCCTATGGGATAGATCTTAGTTGCCAATTATTTGTTTCTCATTTTGCAAAGAAATGTCTGGTTTCTCCTTTAGTAGAATTTTGACTCAGGTTAAAAAAAATGTCTTTCACAGCATTTTTCACCTGAGTCAAAATTTCTATGAAATTATCCTACAGTATTTGAAGTCATTAGCTGGTCTAATACTGTTCGAGAGACTGGTGGGCTGAAATGGAGTAAGGTTGGGTGTGTGTTGTGGAATATTTGATCATTCTGTGTGAAGATGTGTCTCTGTCCTCCCTTGCCTGTCTAAGGCATCTTCTGATTGGTTTAATAAAGAGCTGAATGGCCAATAGCTAGGGGAGGGTAGGCAGGACTTCCAGGCAGAGATAGGAACTCTGGGAAGAATCTGATGCAGGGGATTAGCAGTGAGACGCAAAGAAAGTCAGACATACAGTATGGAGGAGAGGTAATGAGCCACATGGCAGAACATAGCTTAATATAAATGGGTTAATTTAAGCTTTACGAGATAGTTGGGAATAAGCCCAACATTAGGCCATGCTTTCACATTTAAGAAAGTCTCTGTCATTATTCAGAAGCTGGCGGTACAAAGAAAGCAAGGCTATTGCTGTGAGTTATTTTTGAGGTAATTGTTTATTTCTTATTACTAGTCTAATTTGTTAAGCAGTCATCTTTATGGGGAAAACCTTAAAATACATTGCTGCATTGTTATGAACTCAAGCACATTGTCCCCTTCATTCACCACGTGCAATAGCACACCAGGGCTGCTGTCCTGTCACTCTGGATGCAGGACTCCCACATTAGCTTCCCCAGTCCACTTCCTTCTTACGTGGTCATATTTTAAACAACATTTAGAACAAACCCTGACTGTTGCAGGAGTGTTCCAGTTTTAAAATGCATTATAAACCTATGAAACCATTACCTTACTCTATTGTTATGTTCCCATTTTTTCTTTTACTGCCGTGATTTCACTTCAATATTTCACAGGTGAAGATTCTTTTTAAAAATGTGTGTGAGAGTGGGTCTGACACATGTGTGCAGGATTTGAGGAGAACATAGAGAACGTCATGTCCCCTGGAGCTTGAGATACAGACTCTGTGAGCCACCTCATGTGGACGCTGGGGATGGAACTAAGGCCTCCTGGAAAGGCAAGGACCCTTATCTGCTGAGCCATCCCTCAGGCCCCAGTAAAGTGTCCTTAGTTAGAACATGCATCTGTTTCCTGAGTTAAACTTCTAGTGTTGTGTCTTTGAGTGTGCCAGACTGTGTGGGGCTGAGGCTTGTTCTCCTTGGGAGGGACTGGTCCTCTCCTGCTTCCTGGATCTCTAACTCCCTACAACCTCAGGGACACATCAAAATGTTCCTCCCCTACACTGCCACCCCTACTGTGCTGTGCCCAGATTCTCTGGCAGGTCTGGTTTGGGAGGGGCTTCAGGCTCAGAAGGCTGGGAGGGAACTCTGCAGTGTCTGGCCTGGCAGGGTTCCTGGGTGGAGCTGACTGGTTGCAGGAGGAGGGACATTCAACAGCCATCCTGACACCACAGCCCAGGCCTTGGTTCCTTGCTGCTGTCTCCAGCAGCCAGACAAGCACCATGGAGAGGCTGCTGTGCTCTCTGCTGGGGCTGCTGTGCACCCAGGTTTGCTGTGAGTCTGGCTGTCCACATTCAGGGACAGAGAGGATTCTGTCAGCACATGGAGGGTGGGGAAGCAGCTCAGGAGTCCTGCAGAGCTCCCACCTTCTCAGAGGACATGGGGTGTGTTCAGGGTTCTGTGGATGCTCAGTGACCTTCTTCTGTGTATCTTTCTCTGTTTCTAATCAGGGGTGAAAGGTCAACAAGTGAAGCAGAGTCCTGTGTCCTTGGTTCTGCAGGAGGGAGAGCATGCAGAGCTGCAGTGCAACTTTTCCATCTCTACAAACCAAATGCAGTGGTTTCACCAAAGTCCCGGGGGACATCTGAAGAGCCTGTTTTACAATCCTTCTGGAACAAAGCAGAGTGGAAGACTGACGTCCACAACAGTCACTCAGGAACGTCGCAGCTCTTTGTACATTTCCTCCTCCCAGACCACAGACTCAGGCACTTACTTCTGTGCTATGAGTGCACAGTGCTCCCCACACACCTGCAGCCAGTACACAAACCTTCAGCTGGGTGGGCGTGGCCTTTCCCAGTTACAAGACATCCGGAAACCACAACAGAACATCTGTTTGATTTAATATCCCTATTCTATATAGGCAGAGTTTTAACCTGGGATAAGCTTTTGACCATGAGGTTAAGGATTTGGATGTGTAAATTCTCAATATATATTCCCTCCTGAATCATAAACGTCCATCTTAGAACTAACATTGAAGCTGATGGGAGGACAGAATCAATGGATCATTTAAGCCGCAGTGTGCTGAACTCACAAAGGATGAGGAGAAAGGGAATGAAAGGCAAAGACTTCCAGGTGACCCTGCTGTGGACAGGGTCCGGGTCAGTGAGGAGAAAACAAACTGTAGCAACAGCAAGAACATCAAGTCATGGAAGACACAGAGTGTGCAGACAGCTGGATGCTCCAGTTTCCTTTCTGTAGCTGTGATGAAATTCTGAAGAAAAGCTACTGAGAAAGTGAAAAGATCTATTTAGCCTTCCGTTCCAGGTCATAGTCCATCATTGGTGGTAATTAAGGCAGGAAGTCATACAGGAGATTACAACAGAAAACATGGACAAACTCTGCAGCTAGGTCACTCACAGACTCAAACTTATGCGACCCAGGATATTTGAATTACGAATCTGTGGAAATGAAACTTTTGCTTTATTGAACAATTGATCCTGATTAGTTGGTGCTGAAGAATCAGCTTTAATGAATAAGGGGTAGCTGAACTGAAGCAAATCTTATGGGAATTATCTTCTAACATTCAGCACACAGAAGCTATGGTCTAGGGAGGTCAGGGATTCACTTCAATCTGGAAACTCATCTTGGCAATGTGATGCTGGTTTTGGCAGAGAGGAAGCTGCAGGACTGAAGGGAACAGGAAGAAGCTGAGGCTAAGCACTGTGAATTTGCTTTGTCTGATTTAAGTGTGTCCTGGTTCTTATCTTTTGGAATAAGAAGTTTGGGTGTGGTGGTGCACATCTTTGTTCCCAGCAATTGGGAGGTAGAGGCAGAAGGATCTCTGTGAGTTTGAGGCCAGCCAGGTCTACAGAGCTAGTGCCAGGACAGCCAGGGCTACACTGAGATACTCTATCTCAAAAAAATCAAAAAATAAATAAAAATAAAAGCATAAAATAAAAAATAAAATAAATAGACATTTGTAACTATTTTGGATTTTATAGAAACCCACAGAAGACATTACTTATGTTAAAAAGACTTTGAACATTTTTTGTTATTTATTTCTTTATTTGTTTATTTATTTATTTGTTAGTTTTTACGCTCTACCCTCAGTGTCCCCTCCTGCTTCTCCTTTACTCCCTTCCCTTCCCCTCCCCACATCTACTCTTCCTCCTCTGCTTCTCTTCAGAAATGGCAGGTCTCCCACCAATATCAACCAGCCATGGCATACCAACTTGCAGAGAGACTAGACACCTTCTCTCCTGTGACGGCTGGAGGAAGCAACCCGGTCTGAGGAGTATGGACCCAAAAGCAGGCAGCAGAGTCAGAGACAGCCCCTGATCCTACTGTTAGGAGTTCCACAAGAAGACCAAACTACACAACTGTAACCTAGATGCAAAGGGCCCAGGTCAGTCCATGCAGGTTTCTTGGTTGTTGGTTCAGTCTCTGTGAGCCCCTATCATCCCAGGTTTGTAAGAGGAATTGCTAAACAGTTTTATTAATAAAATACCCAGAGCCAGATATTAGGGTGGAAACTGAGAGATCAGAGGAATAGGACAAGCCACAGCCAACCTCACCTTACCAACTCCCCAGCTCCCAGAGAGACCTACTTCCTGTATACCCATGCCTATATCCTTTCTCTGCTTGCCATCTCA